TCGAAAAGAAATCTTTTTTTATGATATTAATGAATTATTAATTTTGTCTATTAATTTTAGAATAAATATTTAAAAACATTATTCAAGAAAGTAAATATAAAGTTATAATTATTTCGATCAATTTTATTGTCAATTTTTTAAACTTAAAATTATAAATTTTAATTATGTTTCAGATAAGACTTTAAAAAAATTAACGGTTTTATATCTTATATTCTCATAAAAAAGAATGTAAGAAAACTAAAAATGTGATCTTTACTGAATAGTTACGATCACAGGAGATAACGGCATCCTCGAAGACTATATATAATAATGTACATGATCGGTGACATGGTGTCTCCGTCTGCGATGAAGAAGAGGAGGGCATGTCAACGTTACACATACGATAATACAGTCGCATTTACAGGTTTTTTACGTTTGTACCGTATTTATATATACGCTGTACACAGCGCTGCACTTCAAACTCTATTCAAATAACGATAATTAACTGTGTCATCAAATAAATTGCATTCAAATCTGCCTTGTCGACCTTTCTCATTTTAAACCTTACGTTTATTTACTAGTTAAAAAAAAATTGTCATGCTTAAGGGATTATTTCTAGAAAATAATGAAGAATATTTTCTATGCAAAAACAATATTTCATCAAAATATTAAAACTAAAATTATATAATTGAAAAGAATTGAAACTTTATTTTCTAATTACCAAATAAAATTTTAAAAAATTTTAATTTTTTTTAATTTAACATTTTTTTTAATTTAAAATTTTAAATTAAAAATTTTTTTTAATATTTCTTTTTTCTTATATTTTTCTTATATCTTTTCTTACAAAAGAATGTTTATTTTAATTTTTCTGCGTAAAATCTCTTGAATATTATTTTTTTATTAAGTTTTTAATTTTATTAACTTTTAATTAAACAATTAATCTTCATTTTCTATCTATTTTTTATAAGGAACATTTACATTTTTATATCTATGTATTCTGACTCGTCCTATAAGAATTGTTCTTAGATTACCGATGATCCAAAATCACATTAGAAATGTACTTCTTTTTCTTCAAACAATTTTCTATTACGGCATAAATGGTAAGCAGTCTTCTATCCATGGCATTTAAATGTGCCTCTGTGATGAGTGGAGAAACATCTGACATTACAGCCTCGTGTGCAAGAAGTCTACCTAATGCGATGCTTAGAGATCCACCACTAAATAATCGCAACCTATCCCACGTAGTTTTGTGAATTCTAGAATGAAATACATCTGTTTCAGTTTTGTTCTTTTCTTTAATTGCTGTCTCTTATTATGCAGTTTCTAAACACCGTAATGAGCAAAGAAGCTATTTAACAGATTCAAAGATTTCAAATTTTGTAAGCAAGAGTATGTTAAAGACTTCTCATGTCTTTTAATTCCATAACTTTTGCAGCAAATATAAATTATACTCACATGCAACACTGATATAGAGGCGCTAAGATGTCGAGATGATCAACATCAGGATTGCCTAGACTCTTTCCATTATCGATCAGTAGCACTGCAGGATTATGAAAATTGTTTTGTGCGAGTTCATAATGATGTCGATCACCATTATCCATAAGGAAATCAAAGATCGCTGTATCAATCAAATCCAAGAGTCTACTCGACGATTGCGGTGAATAAGCCTTGGAATCTTTTACCTAAAAGAAAAAATCAATTCTATATTTTCCACATCAAACATTATTTATAATCGTATTTTTCATGAATTTTTATATTTAAATATTTGATATATATATATATATAATTTTACAATCTCTTAGCAATGTACTTTATCACAATAGCCCTCGTCTATTTCCCACGCAGCAAGTTTATTTCTTTTATAAGTTCGTTGCCAAGGATGACGATGCTTGACCAGTCTTAAATATCGTGGAAGCCAAAAGATGAGGGTACCCTCCAATACATCTCCCGTCCCGCAGACAGGATCGGCTGGAGAACAATAATGACAAACGCCGTATAGGCATGTATTGTTACCTTCTTGATACATGGTTGCGTATAACGCCGGTGTCGCGTGATTACCAATCTCTTCTCTCAGGTCAACTACAAAAGTATTATACATTTCTTACTTCATCAATTTATAACAAAAAATTTTAATTAATATTTATTAGAGAAAGCTAATTATAATTAAGATTTTTATTGTAAATTTAAACAAATTTAGTTAAAGAGTTTCTATTAAAAATAAGCAGAAATCTAATTTATATACTTTTCAATCTTCCTCATTTTAACTTCAACATACGTTTTCGAATAACGGCAAGTGGTACTCTTCGCAATGCTAACAAGGACGATAAATGAAAAGCCACCACTTCAGCATTATGGCGATCCTTGCCATGGTACACTGATCCATGTAGAATAGTATCTCTGGAGTACCATTGTGGCTTGAATAATGCTTTTATATCATTCTCAAGATTAAGCATAAGCTTTAGTTGTGTACCCAATGGAGCATTATCCGCATGGACTATTTTAGACCTCCGCAAAACTTCCAAAATAGTCCCTAGTTCCGGTGCTGCTGGCGGTATCAACTGATGTGCATCTGGCCACTAGATGTAGATATATATAATAAAAAATAAGTTTATGTATATATATGTATATATACATATATATATACATATACATACTTGTTTCTCTAATTTATTTCTTTCTCTCTAAACTCTAAATTATACTTAAAAATCTTTTGTATCTCTTACGTTATGAAATGTAAAATATTTCAAAGAATTTTTTAACTAACATTATTATTGGGAATATTCCAAATATCTTCGCGAACATTTGGCATTATCGTCAACTCGGCTAGCAATCGTTCCAGGACGATAATATAACTTGTATTCTGTTTGAAATACTTTGAAGGCAATAAACGAATCTCCTCTTTGATCCCCTCGCCGATAATCTTTACAATTGACTTTAAATGCAGCTGTGAATCTTTTTCATCGGATCGCGAGGGCGTGGAAGGATCTTGCCTAGCTTTCGGTTCCGGTAAATTTTTGGCGTACATCCTGTGTGAGGAAGAACTCTCAACAATCATTCGGATGAAGTAGATGTTTACGCTGAGGACTAAGATCAAAAGGATGCTCAAGGCGAAAAGAGCGCAACGTCGGCCAATCATCTGCAATTTTTATAAACTTTTAATTTTGCGATTATAATTCTTTAATAGTAAAATTATATTAATATTATTAGAGGAAGGTCACCGATACCGACATACCACTTTGTTTTTAGACAATATTTCTTAAACAAAAGATAAAAATACAACTTCAAAAATATAAATACAAAGTAAAAAGTATCTTCTATCAGATAGTATAAGCAATTTGTATAATACTGTTTGCAATTTTGCAATAATTAAGTTTTTCGTAAGTTATGCAAAAATGAGCGTCTGACAAAATGGGCTCCAAAACTGACATAGTAGGCAATAATACCAACATTCCTATTCTATAAATAAAGATATATCCTATTCTGTAAAGAAAACTAATTTATGAAACTATAAATATTTAAAATGACATAATATTATCAATAATACAGTCACTATTATTTTAATTACTCAATTTGCAAAAGAACACCGTAAGAATTTTCTTCTCAGGTTCATAGAATTGGTTTTTAGCTGATTTGGTATAGAAATAAACCACAAATATATGAATTATATGAGTTTGTACTTTTTTAATTAGCTAAACAGATCATGATTTTATTAGTATTAATAAAGTGCAATAGTTAGTTTCTGAGAAATAAAGGGATGTCACTTTAGGAGACCTATGTCAGTATCGGCGACTTTCCTCTATTCTTTAATAAATCATGAAGAAATTATATATCTCAATAACTTGATTTTCTTAACTCTCTTTTTAAAGCATAATTTAATTGATTTAATTATAATTTAAAATTGTATTTAAATATACATTTCTTTTTATTATTTACAAATTTATATTGCAAGATATACAAGATAATTTCCCAAAATTAATAAATTGTGAAGATAATTTTTTTCAATACACTTTTACACATAAAATATTAGAGGTGAGAAACAAAATTTCCCGCGTCTGGCGACCATATTACGCAATTCCTGTTTATGACGTTATGGCGACTTTGTAACATCCGTGAGATTGTTGCATCAACATCGATATAGTTATCATTAATTATAATTAACCGAATTTCCCCGTTTTCCAATTGGATCACAATTATATAGATACACAAGAATTTTAACAATAAACTCGATGTAACTCATAATTTAAAAGTCACTACGAATCTCTCATGTATTCGAACATTCGAATAATCGATATCGGCGTGTGATAACAAATGTCAACAATAATGTTTATTTCGAAGATTCACATCTTCACCTTGAAGCAATTGGCCATGCATTCGCTGTCACCTGGTGACTCGCGTCTGTCTCATTGTTCGCCAATATCGTCGAGTATCGCCGATGTTTCATTCGCGTTTAGACATCGTCGCCATTTTTACTCACCACTCCGACTCCACTTAAGACGCGCCGGAGCGATGTGTTCATGCGTCCCAGCTGTAGTCCTAACGTCCCTTGTCTCATTCATGTCATGCAGCTATGATGAATGAAACTCTTGGACATCATATGTGAAAATGCTTTTGCAATTTTAAACTTGGTTCATTTTTACAGAAAAGAAACTATGCATAAAATGTAAACTGCTTGCTATTAAATTGCTTTTAAACATTTGGATGTTCATGAATTATTTAAGGTCTTATTGTATTGATTTCCTTCATAAAACTTATTCAAAAGAAAAACGAGTTTTTCAAAGTAATTATCTAAAAATATTCTATAACATTATATATATTCTATAATATTATATAATTGAAATTGAGACAAAATCATTATTATTTAATATGCGTAATTTGATATGTTACATATGTATCTCCATACGTTTTTATTCAGCACGAAAAAAAGCACGAGACAAATCCCTCTTCGAGACAAATTCCCTTTTTGTTTGGACAAATCTTGAAGTGACAAAAATGTGATGTAAAAATATTGTGGGGTACACAGTGAAAAACAGCAGTGATAGTGACGAATTTATTTTATAAAAACATGTAAACTATATGTGAATATAGAGTTAAACTTAGACTTATATTTCGGTTGGAAAACACATTCCCCTGTGAACGCACATAAGTAGTGCAGACGTTGATGATAGAGATCGTGATTGCAGTGGTGGTAATGATGACTTGGCTCGGTAGCTACTGTCACTTTTTCTTCTTAATGCTCGTTACATAGTTCGTAGAAAGAATTAAATATGTACACAATGTGTAATCGTCTTCGTTTCTCATTCTCTTTCCCTTCGTTGCCTTTCGCGCTCACGTGCCAATTCTGTGGCATAGTCATACGGCGAGCCTCTCCTAAAATCAAAATTATTTTTTTTAATATACATGAAAAATTGTAAATGCAAGTAATTTGAGATAAATTGTGTGTTCTATACATAAAACACATTTGACACAAATTCTTATAAAATTCTATAACGCAAATATAAAATTATACATACATAGTGATTATACAACGTGTGTCCATTAAAATAAAAAAAAATCTATTCTTGCTTCTGTCCTTACCTATCCCGATGTCGGTCTCTGTCGCGATGGCGATCCCTGCTTCGATCTCTATATGATCTATCTCTGCTACGGCTTCTATAATCCCTCTGCCTTCTATTTCTGTCACGACTGTTCGATCTTCTGCTATACCTGTCTCTTTCACGATCCCGTTCGCGAGCTCTTTCTCTATCACGCTCCCGTAACCTCTCGCGATCGCGATCGCGCTCTCTATTCTTGTCCTTACGATCCTCATCGGTTCTGTAAAGAGACACGTACGAACGGAAGTATGACATTGGTTGTCCCGATTGATTAATTGGTAAAACTCAATCTAAGCTCGATCGAAAAAAAGTTATTAATATTTTATCTTCTTGTTACAACTGTATATATATTAAAGAGAATAATTTTTTAGATAAGTCTATCGTCGTGCCTTTCAAAACAAAACACGAAAACATCAACTTTTTATCAGATTTAGTTTCTACGCTTCAAAGTACATAAACAACAAATATTTAAATTTCAAAAATTATCTTTGAAATGTGTGTGACCTCTACATATGTATTTATTCAAGTATTAATAACGTGATCGTTGTATTCATACCACGTGGACGCACCTGGCACGCCACTGGCTCATACGCTCGGCCTCACCCCACTGAGTCTCATTATCGGGGATATGACGGGGTTGCTGATTACGCGATGTCAAATTACCGTTGTCCTTACGACCATCCTTGTTGCCATACTTGCCATGGCTATTAAGAGTGATTGGCGGCTTAGCGTTTCGTGCATTCACCTGCTGTTGCGGAAAACGCTCGGCCAATCGCAACTCCAAATCTTTTTGGATTGGTACCGGTATCCGTGGAAACAATGTAGAGAACCACTCAAGTTTAGTAAGGAATTGTTTGAGAATGTCGCCCATTTTCATCACTTGCCCGCCACCTGCCTTCACATCTAGTTCCTCTTCATCCTCCAGATAATCGTTGTACCAGCTGAACAAGTCTGCTGGTGGCTGTGTATATCTAATTGTAACCGTACTGTGTATATATAATCATAATCGTAACCAGTTTATAGCTTGACTTGAACTGTAGACGTCGCAAGTCTAGCCTACAGGGTCTGGAAGGACCTATTCAAGTGACTACTCGCAGCAACCTTGATTAGTATACTCATGTTAAACCAAGCAAATTTACCGTTGTAACTGCCATGCGTGTATATATACATGTGTATGTGTGCGTGCGCATACACACACATACACGCACACACACAACTATTAACCTTTATCACAGATAATCACAAATTAAAAAATTAATTGATTAATATTACAATTGATATTTTATGTTATTCTTAAATTTTCAATTATACGTTATAGCTATGACAAAACTGAAATATAAAAAAGGATAAAACATAATAAAGGAGCAAGCACAAATATAATTATTTTTCAAAATAAATACACTTTTAACAAGTTTTTAATATGAATATACTTTCTATATTAAAAAAATTATATATATATTCTAAAAAATATCTGCGATGAAATTATTGTATACATTTAATATATCTAATTACATATTGACACCATAAAATGTATTAGATAAAACTCACCTAATGTACATAAATCCTAGGGCACGTATGTAGGGCGAATCTGGATGATTAATAAGCCCATTCAGCTGCTTCCTAGTTAGCCTCAGCGTGAAGAGTTTGTATAATAGACAATATGCCGTGGAAACAATTCCGCCAGCTCCCACGCCTCGTACCTGCATGAACCGCTAAATTTACACCCCCCCTCAGTCAGTTAAATCACATTCGTGTTACCGTACAATATATGAACCGAATACATGCTACTCTGCAATTAAGTGGTGCGGTTAACACTTTGTTTCTAGCGATAGTAATAGTACCAAGGCGTTTATATTGTTCGAGCATTGGCAATACTACCATCGTATGCGTAACAAACTTTGCGATTTTGTACGAAAACATTTACTGCATTCATTGAAACTTTTCGTTGTCCAATAGCTCAATTTACAGCTCATTTTAACAGAATTAAATGATTCCCTTCTATTATACTGTGCTTTTGTTCCATCTTGTAACAAACATTGAGAACCCCATCTCTACTTCACATCATTATTCTACATAATTTTAACTGGCAATTGTTTTAATTATTAATAATTTGTTTCCTAAACATGCAGATCAAGTGTAGCAAAACATTTAAATAATATTCAGACAATTGTATTGAACAAGAGAGAAAGAGAGGGGGGGGGGGG